AAAGTATGAAAGTGGTAGTACGTATCAACGACCTGGTCAGGTTGTACAGAAACAAAATCAACCCATCGGTTCTATTGGTGGGCAAGAAAACGGCAATCAAGGAAGCTGTTGTTGCCAAAGGTTTAACTGTGTTTTCGAAACAAAGGAATCGCAAGGGATGGAAGATGTTGAGAGACTATTATTGGTGTGGAATAATTGAAAAACAGCTAGCAGGAAGATAGCGTCTCTCAAGCGATCTATGTGAAAAGGCTAGGAAAGTTGCATGACGATTTAATTAAAAAATGCCTGCAACTAGTGATGATGTGAGTGGAATTTAAGGGCCAGCAAAGGTTGGTTTGAGAGATTTAAAGAGCGTAGTGGCATCCATATGTGATAAGGCATGGGTGAGGCTGCCAGTTGGACCACAAAGCGGCTCCTGAAAAATTTGTGCAGAAATTCAAGGAGTACATAGTAACTGAAGGAATGAAACATGATCATGTGTTTAATTGTGATGAAACAGGCCTGTTCTGGAAGAAATGCCAGACAGGACCTTACATTACTCAGGAGGAAAAGCATCCCAGGACAATAAGCCTATGAAAGAAAGAGGCGTACTTTCTCATGTGTTGCCAATCTAATGGTGATTGCAAAGTGAAGCCTTTATTAGTGTATTCATTGAAACTCCCAGAGCGTTCAGGCAAAAAAGAATGTCTCAAGGATAATTTGTGTGTGCTTTGGAGGGCAAACAGTAAGGCATGGGTCGTAGGGAATTTTTCTATAACTGGTGACACCATGCATTTGCCCCAAGTGAAGATTACCTAACTCCTAAGAAATTAGGACCTTAAGTGCTCCTGGTGTTTGCAATGGCCCCGGTCATCCTACAGACGATGGCAGAGCGGACTTTATGGGGTCAGAGTTCATTACGGTGAAGTTTTTGCTCCTATCCACTCCTCTCCTTGCAGCCCTGGACAGCAGGTCATTTCCAACTTCAAGAAACTGTACACAAAAGCTCTGTTTTCAAAAGTGGCTTTGTAAGTGACCACAGACACTGGATTGACTCTAAAAGAGTTTTGGAAGGATCACTTTATATCCTCAGTTGTGTTAAACTTATAGGTAGGCTTGGGAGGGATGACTAAGAGAACCTTGTAACTCTGCTTGGAAGAAACTGTGGCCAGAATGTGTAGACAAAAGGGATTTTGATGGGTTTGAGGCTAACCCTGAGAGAAGTAGTATACCAGTTGAGTGAATCCATTGTGGCATTGGGGAAGTCCTTGGGTTGGAGTTAGTTGGGAGGATGTGGAGAGTTGGTGTGAGGAGGACAATGAAGAACTAACCACCGCATGAGCTGATAGAATAACTTCAAGGCAAGAGGCCAGACTGGGGAAACTGGTTTCAGAGGAGGGAGAGAGAAATGAAGGAATTGCCTACTTCAAAGATTAAGGAAATGTGTGCAAAATGAGCTTGAAGGGTGCCAAACCTTTTTTGATGAAAAATCACCAGCACACACTATTGCCAGCCGATATTGCTGGTGACTATTACAAGACACTTGTTGTGAAACACTTTAGGAAAGTCATAAAGGAACGAGAGTACAGGCCCACTATGGACAGGTATCTTGTGCGACAGAAGTCCAGTGACTCTCAAGCTGGTTCCTAGTGGCATTAAAAGAGAAGGGAAGTAACCCCAGAAAAGACTTGCTAACCTCAAGTCCTAATGGTAGGGGATTCCTTCTAAACACTAAACACTTCTCTCTCCCCTCCTCCAATCCATCATCCATCACCAGATCTTCAATAAAAGTAAGTTGTCATGTCTTGAAGCTTACCCGTTTCTTGCCCGGTTGCGCTACTTTGGTATCATAATCATCCGACAGCTGGAGCCAGTCTTCTATTGTCTTAGGTTTGCCACTGCCTATCTTTTTCTTCGCTGCTTTTATACCATCCAGTTGATCTGTGGGGAAGATGGAGATGGCAACAATTATTCCCAATTCTGTAACCTTTTTCATGAATACTAATACATGTACTTTAATGTACTTTAATACCTATATGCTGTATAAAGGTTTAATCTAAAGCAGATACTTATATTTTTTCATATTCTAATCACATTTCTACTGTCTCATTCCCATCTACATGGGGGTGAGACATGTAAATGGAGTAGAAAATTACATCAGGAATAGTATTGGTGCTATAGAACTTTCATTAATGAGAAGAATTTCTGTCTTAAAACCTGTGCTACAATGGATACAAAGCACTATGGAACTACCTCACTGTTGACAGACTAGCACTCTATTATTAACTAACAAGATAAAATGGGTCGTTTGATATCTGCTCTTGGTTTCTCTCTTGGCCTGGAATTCCACAGCCCTCAGAGAGAATCTACTTTCTTGCAGCTGGCTTCATACCCTATCCTCTAGCCTATTCCCTTCACCACAGTAGGTATTTTCTACTCAAGTCAAATTCTGTAAGCCAGCTACAGCATCTTAAACTATATCTGTAGAGAAACATGGAAACCTAAGCATAAGAAAATCTAAAAGATAAATATATAGTATACAATACACACTCATGAGACAGGAATAAAATACAACTTACCCAGTCTGTCCTCTTGGCTTTCCATGGTATCCCATTTGCTCCGAATAAATTCATTATAAACCTGCGGATATATGTCAAATCACATGATATTATGAACACAAAATTAAATGCAATGGGCACTTGTCATAGGATGTACTGATTACTAAAATGTCAACAGAAATTAAATTACCTAATAGAGAAAGTTAAGGAATATGAAGGGAAAAAACACCAAGACAGCCAGAACAGCAGAAACATTTTCCATGATGAATATTTTCAACTTCTGCTGAAATTGTGAAAACCTCAATGTCGGAAAAAAAAAAAAAAAAGTTTGTTCAAACATGTAAACAATGAAGTTTTGTCTATTAAATCCTGCTATAATTAACTGAGATGTATTGCCGTGATGATAATCCCACAGCCCAAAGAAAAATCTCAACTAATAACTGCTTGAACACTATTTTAACAAATATTCAGTAAAATATTCAACCTATGAAAATTTGCAGCTTATGTGAGAATCTTTATTATGAAGCAACTGCCTAACATATTTGCTGTTGTTTTAAGCAACAGCTTCACACATTTTTGTTTTAAGTTGTATCTAAATACAAACTTGGCTCAAGAATGTGCTACTACAATACTGAACTGTATCACACTTTAGATCACTCTTCTCAGTAGTATTAACTCAAATAATTAAGTAATAATGACAAATATCCCAGAAATATTTGCATGTTTGAAATACACTAATATCATAGATTAATGGCTCAAATTAGTAATTCTTCAGTATGCAAAATGCAGTTCGACGAGTATAATTAAAAGATAAATATGCAATTTTGTTATAATGTACTTCACATTATAAAAAGTTGTCATCACACTGTAGAAACAATTCTGCTCAACTACACTACTCTGCATAATTTTAATATAGATGTTTGATTAGAAGTTGCTTTTCTAATTAAAAGAATGACCACAACCCCCTCTTCTCCATGATTAAAAAAAAAAAAAAGCTGAATTACCAGAAAACCCTCAAATGCACCACCTTAAGCCACAGTAATGTGGGAGATTACTAAGTTCATAGTATTACAAATGCAGGTACATGTAGACAAATATATTACTTCATATAATGCAATGTGCTGTCACCTTCCTCCTGCTGGAGTGAAATTGTAGTGCATTATTTTGTCCACACACACACTTAGGTAAAAAATAAACAAAACACGTCGATCAATAGTAACTTTATTTACGAAGAACTGAATGACAATGAGAAGCTTACCAGGGACAAAATTGTTCGTTTAATAGCATACGAGCCATTTCCAATAGTAAGGATAAATGAACTCAATATCTGAACTTTGGTGGACAATGCCTTAAAACATTCTATAAAGTTACATTTGCTGAAGTAGACTTTATATAAGACAGGAAGGACTAAAATCTCAAAATATTTATTACAATGCTGAAATGCACAAGTCCATAACTACGTAGTGCAATAAATATATTATGAAGCTAGTTTGAAGATTTTTTCTTATTTTTTTATTTTTTTGCAAAAGTAAATATACAGTACATGTAATGATTAATGTGCGGAAAAGCCAACATGGTAAAAAAAAAAAGTTTTAAGGCATTTTTTACCACAGTTAAGATGTGGGTGTATAATTTCTATGTCCCCTTTCTCTTGTTACATACTCTCCTTAAGTATCATTCTTTATACAGCATTATACTGTGTCATATTCTATTTATGACAAGTTATTTTTAATGTTTTAATTTTATCTCTTCCTACTCATTCTCCAGTGACTGGCTTAACTCTTTTATTCCTTCTTCATAGCTTATTTGCACCAGTGAGGATGTGCTCCTTTGGCCCTTATTGTTTCACTTTTCATTTAAAACTCTGAAAGTTCCACACTGGTTATTCCTAGGTCTGCTTTCCTGTAAAATCTCCGTTGCCCCTCCCCTTCCTTTTTCTAGTGACCTCTGATTTCTTTTCTCTTCTTTCCAGTTTAAATACCTTGTTTTTATTTTAACTAAACTTCAACAAAGTCACATTTCTGACCATTTCTTCAGCCTCTTGAAGTCCTCTTGCAGTGTTATACCGCCCTCATCTGTGTGTATTATTAATTTATAAAGAAAGAAATGTAGTTTACTTCTGTTAAAAAGCAATTCATAAATATTTGATAATTGCCTAGTTACACACTCCCATCTTGATGCTCATATTCTTACTCTCACACCATTCAAGGATTCTTCAATCCCTGCTAGTACCTTTCCTGTCAACCCAGCTTGTTTCTCCAGTTGTTTATATAGTTTGCAATATGCATGCTGCCACCTGTCTGATCTTTAGTCTATCTGAGAGCAACAGTGTTCAAGAAATTTGTTTGCTACATGTCAATTTCTGCTTATAAGCATAAGGTATATTAATACCGAAAATGTTTGAAATTAACACACATGCAAAGCTTACGACATTTATTAGGACTTTAAGGAAACACTGTCCACTGGGGGCTTCTGAACCTCAATTTTTTATACATCTTGAATGGTTTGTATTAATGTCTTATTTTTTTTTTTTTTAAGTACAGTACCAACATTGCATTTACTGCCACCTAATTTCCTGGCAAGACATCTCTTCTCAATTATTTCCTGAAGATCTACAAGAGGTTGCACATTATTCAAGATTCTTTTAGTATCTATGGTGATACTTCACCAGGTACAGTAGCAATGTCTTAGATGTGTAATGCCCCAATAATCATCTAAATTCAATAGCAATTTATATTCTCCATTTCTGGTACTTGTCCTTGAGTATGTGAAAATCAACTGTGAATCTTCTATTAAGCTCATTATCATTTATCCTGATGCATGCATTTGGAATTTACACACATGCAAGAATGGTGCTAAAAATGCTAGGCTTAAGTGAGAAAGCCCTTAAAGGCAAACTACATAAAAAAAAAAATTCTGTTTATGGGAGTTAATTATTTTCTTGAATCTTTTTCCAGTACTTTTTCAATACCTCTGAAAGCAAACCAAAAATGGGGTGAAGTATCAACACCAGGATATTGTAAACAATACAGTAATTGGACACCAGTGTACCAACATGCAATGTCTTAAACAGGAATGACATACAGGTGACTTCACTAAAAGCAAATGTGCCATCATGTATACTACTATATAAAAACAAAAGTGATTACCTATTTGGTTATCAGAAACAGGTTATCACTAGTAACATTACACTACACAGTCAGCCTTCCAAATTTGTGGTAGCCTGGATTCAACAATTAAGTTTGACTAAAGGGCCTCCTGTAAATAATTTTCAGTATTGTTCACCGTGTTTCTCAAGTTGCCATTTTGTTATTGCTTTGTGTGCAACCTTTTAACTGAAAATCAACCACAGGATCTTCTTAAAAATGTGCTCCCTGCAACTCCTACACCCAAATCTCTCTTCTCAATTGGTATTCTTTCTCATACAAATCAATATTAATGTGGTTAACACAATATGTAAGGAGCTGACCTTGGAAAAACATTAGCCCAAATTTCAAATAATTATACATTAGTGTTTAATGGCAATCACAGTTCCTGAATTTGCTGGGACCTCTAAGAACACATGTCCCATGAATCTGAACATTTAGTAAACTATATAGAGTACAAGATATACACACAAATGTGCACACACATTTATGCACTTTTTTTTCACTGTCTAGCTTTTATCAATTCAATGCTGCAAATCGGGTAGAAGCTTCCACAGTGTCAAGATGTCCTTATTTTTGACTTAAGAATGTGCTGTAACTACAATGGTTACCCATTAAACCAAAGTCTGACTCAACAGTTAAGAACAGAAAGATTACTACAGGCACTTAGCATCTTTCAAAATAAGAAATACTAAAAACATAAGTTCAATATTGAATATTATTTTACATAAATAATTAATTAATATGTAGATCTTTAACTGTATACAATAATTCTTGACCAGGCAGCTACTGTGTAAACCCAGAAATGGTAATTATGTTATACTGTCCAAATCCAGGAAGTAAAAACACTAGCAGATACTCTACAAATTTCCACATTCCACAGAGTGCAGAAATTTTTTTGCCACAGCAACTACTTTGTAGTTTGATTTTACAGAGATAAAAGTAAAAAAGTTACATTGTGATGTTCTATAATTAATGGTGCTCCATCAACTTAACTTTACCTTGTAAAAAGCTTTGCAATTCTCTTACCTTCTCACATGATAGTGCTAATAAGTTTTACAATTTCTCATCTCTTTTCTACTAAATTGTACTATAAAAGCCTTACCTACACAACCACACACTCACGTATAAGCTTTTCTTAGACAGTCTTTCTATTTTCTATAATGTAAAAACTTGTATAAACAGTTTCTAATATTATAACAAAATGAGAAGAACAGTGTCAAACTCACTCTCTTTGTTTTAATTCAACTGCTCCTTCTGCCAAGGCAGGATAATCCAAAAGAAAACCCAGTCAATGATTTTCACTCAATTGCTGTCCTTCCAAAAGTTTGCTGGTATCACAGTCAAACTACCCTCCAACTGCAACATACCCATCCCTCCTTCAAAGCACCTTTCCCACCACCAGGACTCAAGTCCGGCTAATCAGCTTCCCTAAATTCCTTCATAAAAGTTACACTGCTCTCACCCCAACGGAACATCCATTAAAAAACCACTTGTCTTAATGCACTCCTACCAAACCTGCTCAAATCAAGCTCCTAAAATGGCTTTTTGTACCCCTTGCTTTTAACCATTCCTAGGGCCCCAGCTGCTCTTACCTTGCATCCTAGATTTATACACTCATGGTCAACCTATCCCTCTCCATCCTCTCCACATGCCCAAACCACCCTTTTGACTTGTACCCTTGGTCACCTCACATCATGTTTTAGTTTCTACACTCCAAATTCTCTCCATGACACTCACACCACACACTTCTCTCAATTATTAAAAAATAAAACATTAATAAACAAAAATAGAAAATAATGGATAAAAAATATAAAATGTTTCATAATCCACTACAAATTTTAAGAATATTAAAAAAAATATTACCACTACCTTCTTTCCCTGGGCAAGCATATAGATTTAAATTTAATAAAAGTATTGTTTTTAATATTTTTATATGATCCAAGACTTGGGATAAGTCCGAATACTGCATCTATCAGTGAATGAGCTTAAGAAAAATTACTGGTTAGGGTTCCTCTTCCTAAAATCACACTTTCCTTCATTTCGTAAAATAAAATTTCAACTTCTCCATGTGCTTTTTTTTTTTTTAACCCTTTGACTGTCGCGGCCGTATATATACGTCTTACGAGGTACTGTGTTTGACGTATACTCAAATTCTAGCGGCTTCAAATCAGGCAGGAGAAAGCTGGTAGGCCCACATGTGAGAGAATGGGTGTGTGTGGCCAGTGTGCACCATATAAAAAAATTCCTGGAGCACGCAGTGCATAATGAGAAAAAAAAAAAAACAGACCGTTTTTTTTTTAATTAAAATGCCGACTTTGTGGTCTATTTTCATATAGCATTTATGGTTGTATTCTCGTTTTCTTGGTCTCATTTGATAGAATGGAAAACATATTATAGAAATAAAGGTGATTTTGATTGATTTTACTATAAAAAGAACCTAGAAATGGAGCTCAAAGTAGGGGAAATGTTTGATTTTTGCCAATGTTCAAAAGTAAACAAATGATGCCATTGTCCAATAAATGTCCAACTAGCCATTCTAATATGCAGTCATGAATGGGTTGATGTTATTTATACAATTATTACAGTATTGCAGTAGTCTGCATAATAATAAGTCTTCTATTTTTTGTTTGAATAAAAATTCAAAATAGAAAGCAAGAGTAATATCAGAGGGGCCTGGAGACATGACTGACGAGCAAAGAAAATGTTATTTTAGAGCCAGGAATGTCTGCATTGTTCATTCTGGACCTTATTTTGAAATTGTCATATTTTTTTAGTTTTCGTGCATTTGGCCAACTTGCAAATTTCTGACCACATTATTAGGTAGTTGAAATCAGTAAATGGGCAGTTTCTTGTACTCAATCGATAGAAAAAATGGAGTTCTAAAGAAATAGCTATGAGTTTGGGCGACTGGAACAATGGAATTAGCCGAAAATAGGGCTCAAAGTGGGAGAAATCGCCGATTTGTAAACAGTGCCGAGGTCGCTAACTTCGCGAGAGCATAATTCCGTCAGTTTTCCATCAAATTTCGTTTTTTTTTTTTTGGTGTCATTACAATCGGGAAAAGATTCTCTATCATTTCATAAGAAAAAATAATTTTTTTTTTTAAATTTTGCGATACCAGGAGACACCTCAGGATTGGGGGTTGCGACAGTCAAGGGGTTAAATCCTAAATAACAGAAGAATCAACATAAAATGTTTAAAAGCAGTTGTTTCCAAATGTGCAAAGGTCCAAGTTAGAGTGCTTGAAAAATTAATCTTTATGCTGAAGTTCCTCAGGTAAATAGTTTCAATTACCTGTGCCCATTTTTTTTTTTACTTGGTACATGACCCCTAAATTGGAAACTTAACTTTAGAGTTCCATTCAGCATATTCTCGATGGATTTTCCATACCAAAACCTCTTTCTGATGCATTTCAATATTAACTACATTAGCAATACTGAAAGCATTATGACCTGTTTAAACAGTTTACAAAAGCCCAAATCTGAAACAAAATTTATTATAAAGACAGAATTTGGTGAATTCTAACTTCACAAGACCTGTAGCTTTTGTGAATTTAGGGGATTTACAGTACTTTATGGACTTGTCATACTTCTTGGAAAAAAAAAAAAAAAAAAATCCACCATTTCATACTGTCCACATGAAATTACTATTCTGTATTTACATATGAAAATCAAATATTTACATATGCAAATACAAATGTACTGAACTCACTGCACGGAGAGCTAAAATCCATGACAAAAGCAAGTGTATTTACTTGTGTGCCAACATAATCTTTGTTATCAATTTTAACTTTTTCAATTAATGTGCAGGATTCAAACCTAAAGCCAAGTACATATTAACTCGAGGATCTACCAATGTATTATGATGGCTTCTCAAGTTGTGTTTGCTGGGACCCCAGCCACTCTTTTTTTTGGCAAACTTCTCACCACCAAGTTTGTGTAATCAAATCTAGCTGCTTTATCTTTCAATTACTGCCAATGCTTCAGAAAAATATTTTATTTTCATAAACGTGTAAACTTCATGAATTTGATCCACATCAGAATTATTAGATAAAACGCTCATGACCATAGCTGCAGATTGCTATGGCCTTTAAAGACAGTATCACTGTGCAGAAGACAACATGGTTATCCAAAATACAGTGGTACCCAAGTTTCGTACACCTCCCAACTTGAACAATTATGTAAGTGTATTATTGTAAGTGCTTTTGTAAGTGTATTTTTGAGAGTCTGAAACGGACTAATCTAAGTTACATTATTCCTTTTGGGAACAAATTTGTTCGGTAACGGCACTTGAACAGCCTTCTGGAATGAATTATGGCAGAAACTCAGGGTACCACTGTAGATGATAAATAAAAGTATTTAGTGTATCTGAAAATTTTCAAACACCACAGTCCTAAATGTGGAAGCATAGTTCATTCATGTAGGGCAAGATAAGAAACTTACTATTGCAAAATTGCAATAAAATACTAGGCCATCCAACGACTACTCTCAACTATGCTTCCACATTTTCCAGTGAAACTAACGTTGTCACGTGAAAAAAAAAAGTCAGCATCAGTCATATTGCATTTCCATATAGCAAGCCACAGGTACTTTTATATGGAATGCTTGCATAAGTTGGTCTGATTAATAAAACCGAAGAATAGACTAATTATTTATTTTATAATATTTCATCAATATATGATAGCAACATACTACAGTAAATTCCAATTACTTATAATGAACATAGTACGAACGTGATCTCACATTTTTCAGTGTCATTTTTTATGTAGCAAGACACCTAATCTTATTAATGCATTTTCCCAAGTGATCGCTGGCTATCTTTTAGCATTTTCATCAACATTTCTAATTTTTTATAATGCCTTTAGAAAAGAAAGAAGAATATCACAAAGACACAGAGAACATTAAAGACGTGCAAAACCATCACAAACACAGTCATCGTCAAGGGAAAAGAACACATTAATACGTGCAAGAATATTACAATTCTTGAATGATTTCAAATTTAAGACTACTGTACCAATTTCTTCTTTCCAAAATAACAAGTGCAGCTTTCATAATAACAAGCATTAGATGTACTGATAAAGTACATTCTTAAGTCATGTGACTTAAGCTACAAGTTTTCCTAACTGCTCTTTGCACGGGATCTTTGTTAAGTCTGTAAATCAAAGATAGCCATTATGAAAAGAGAAGTCTGTGTGTAAAGTTAATACTGACCATATTTTATAGATCAAAGAGATGGATATAGTGAGTGAATTTAAATATCTGGAAATCTACTATACTCAGTAAAGCGTTACGATTAAAATAGCAAATTGTTCAATGAGATGGGACTAACAAACGGGAACTGGTAAACAGAGCACTGTACAACGTGCAAGAGCTCTACATTATAAGTGTTTTGTATATAAAGTTACTGAATGCTAAATTTTAAAGCTAATATTAGAACAGATGGTAATTAACTATGCACATAATGAACATTAAAGATTTAACTGATAAAAGACTAGTTATGAACAACTGCTAAATTTGTCTCAACTGCTACTAATGTAGATGTGGATTCAAACCCCTGCCTTGGTGTCAAGATATTACAATACAGACGCCGATTCTTACAACAGCAAAAAGGTTTGATTAAAAAATAAAATATGAAAAACCATGAACATTACCGAAGGGCCACATGGCTATTTCATGTCAAGAACAATAGATATGCAATGTGTCTTGGACTACTAATACTGCATAATCACTGAAAATGGTTAAAAGCTTTAGGCAAAGAACTTAAAATGTAAGGATTAGGAGAGAAGTGAAGGGGAAAGCATAAATGACCAAAGTAGGAAAGAGCAGAGCTAACATGGCTCAGAAAATGTTAAAAGCTAAATTTTTTATAGTATTATAAGGCTTCAAGTGTAGGAAAGGTAATTTCATGCAGAGCACTGATAAAGTCACAGGTCTACGAATGAAAATGAATAAAGGCCAATATGAAGAACAGCACAGGTACAGCAATCATGAAAAAAATGTAATAATCTTTGCAATGAATCACTCCGCTATGAAGGTTTAAATGGTAATAGCCACTAACTACTCCAAGCTTGTGTATATGTACACGAAGATGGGTATTAAAACATAGTATAACATCAATGAAAAGGGGAAGGGGAGACGAAAAAAAAGTTATACAAACTTACTTTGTCAAAACCACTATTGATAAAGAGATCTTCTGATAAATAAAAAATCTAATTTAGTTAATACTTTTAAATTAAACCCTGTATGTTCATTAATTCAACATCTGAAGATGTACATTTTCTAAGTAGAAAGTTGAGCTTCAAAAGCAAAGTTTATAGTTCTTTCTTCCCATCCCCTCCCTGCTTTTTTGAAGGTAGATGGGACCTCTTCAGTTAACTGCCAAAAAATTTTTTTTTTTCCATATAAACCATTAACAGTTCCATTTGAATTTGTACACACATTTCACAACTGTTCAGAAAAACAGAAAGCAGTATTATTTGGCAACCAACCACAACCTCCCGTGTCAATCAACTTTATATAAACAAGCAACATTCAGATGCCAAATCATACTAAATATGCTGTTATTAACTAGCAAAATGGTTCTTTGCCCATAGAATTGCAACAATACTAGGTGTATTTCTGTTTTATTTACATTCAAGTTGATCTGGGTGATATAAGATCAATTACACCACCATTGTTCTCTTTTGATTTATATAAAATCTGATGTACTTTAATGGTTTTGGACATGATGAATGGCAAGTTGGCAAGCAGCCTTAAGATTACTAATGTTAAATAAATTTTTTGGTACTGGATACAAATCCTACCAAAATATTTCTGTTTAAATCATTAAATACTGCAAGCTAGTATATTTGGCACATCCATTTCAAACACCCAAACTTTTGGTGACAGAGCCATATACTGGCTGTCATTGTCACTCACAGAAGGGTAGGAACCCCGTCTACTTATATTTTTTTTGCATTTCTCATATAGTCGTGCCACTCCTTAGTTTGTTTCAATTTTTCTAATGCCACAGTACCATATCAGCAAACATATACCCACCAAGACTAAGTCACAACACTGACTGAAACAATACACAACCTATCCAAAACAGATGTATTTTTGATTTGTTGGATAGTTGTGAAATATTACCTGTAACTGTACCTCTTAATTTTCTTCCATGTTCTGCCTTTTAATATACCTTTTTTTGTTCTACATTATACTGTATACATGTTATCTTTAGGTAATCCATTTTTTTTTTATCTACTATTGCCTTGTAGTATCAAATCTTTAAGTAATCCAGCTTTTTTTTTTATCTACTATTGCCTTGTAGTATCAAATCCTTCATACAGTACTTATGATAACCAAACCAGACTATATTTCATCAACATTGTTCCCACCTGCTCTTTCAATATTTGGAGAATTAATTCAAATGTAGTTATCACCTCAAGAATGAGGACCTTATTTAACAAGAGAACAAGGCATAAAAATATAAAGATAGACAGACACTTTTATTTTGCTAAGTACAAAACAATACTGCTTGCACTTCCATTTGTGTGTGTGTGTGTGTGTATAAAGTTTTACAAAATATTCACAAGAAAATTAATTTAATATCTATGACATCACTGAGGTGACCTAAAGCTGCCAAGTGAATAAAAACAATTCACACCTTATCTGCCCAGCAGATAAGGTGTGAATTGACACTTCTTGCTTAATTTGCTTGCTAAAATCAGGAGTATTTAAAATATAATTTTCTTTTTGCCTTGTAAATCAAATACATCATACAAGTCAACAACAGATACCCAATTCTTTCTTACTGTTGAGATAGTAGTAGGTTGAATAAAATTTTTTTTTAAAAATCTTTTAACGTTAAACCTATAAGAGTAGGAAACTACAAATATGTAGCAGGCTGAGGTGCAATATTCGAACTAGCATGCAACTATTTTATTAAAGGATTCTACACTTTTGAGAAGTACAGCATGAAATATTCTTAACAAGTTTCTATGTATCTAAAAGTTTATGTATTGCTGTATAAATCCCCCCCCCCCAAAAAAAAGTAGAACGAAGCAAAGATGAAAATAAATTTACCCTCGCATATTTTCTAGACACTTATCCAAGACAAACATGGTCCAATGTTGACCTACCTACCTACCTAAAATCTTACCTAGTTCATTATAATCTTGCACAATCAAACCTACTTGATGTTTCAGCCCTTTCCTCTATACACCACTTTCACACTATCCTATAATTTCAAGCCTCCACTGGATACACCCAACAGGATAGAAGAGAAAACTGATAGGGTAGACAGGGACAGGCTGTTTGAGGCAAAAAGCCGGAACTTGAGGACGCAGCTGGAAGTTAAAGACAAGTGAGCCACAGAGATGTCAGGAAGTATTTCTTCGATCTCAAGGTGGTTAGAAAGTGGAATGATCCCTGTTAAATTGTAGTAGTAGACTCCATACATAGTTTTAAGAGCAGGAGAGAGAAAAAAAAAAGGCAAGTACGCACGCGCACGCACACACACGTGCAAGTATGACAGGGCCTATGAGGCTACAGAGTGTCAAGTTAAGAGGCAGGACCAGGACCTGACAATCAACCCCTGCACACACAATATTGTGCTTTTCATATAAATACACTAATTTCTTCAATTCTTATTCACTATATAATATTCACACCATATAACTCTTGACAAGCCATTTCCTGTTTTCAATATCCTAATTGCAACATTTAAAGACAATGCTTCACATGCCAAGTTTCAAACCCTCTATAATCAGTTTCACTTTCTTTTTCATCCACTGACAAACCTCAATACAAAAACCCTAATTAATACTCTAGCAATGTTTATTCCAGCATCTAATCTATAATTTAACTCATCCACCAAAGACCCAACCACTGAGACACCCAAACAATTTATTTTGACCTCTGTTTTATTTTCTTTGCTCTTACTTAATCTCACCTTAATCATTTCTGCATTCACTTTTAACTCTCTTCTATTAATAGGCTTTCCAGAGTACTCTACCAACCTCTGTGGTTACACTTGCAAATTTTCCAATAAAATACCACCATTCACAATAGCAATTATTTAAACTCCAACTCTTAATTTAATTTCTGTCTCTTGCAGCCACACTACAGAAGAACACTGCAGCAAGACTACTATCCTATACCTGGTAGATCTTACAAGCACCCAAGCCCTCCCACTTATATGCTTGTCCAAACTCTTTTTAAAAGTAGCCCAAAGCACAATACTGGCTTTAACAATACTACTGAGCAGTTTGCTCCACTTACAACATTTTGCAGCCCTATCTATGAACACCTTGCACAGCTATAATGACATCACATACTTTTGCTGAAGTCCTACTGGAAATATTGCTATACTTTCTTACACTTGCTAATCTGTACCTCACTCCTATAAATAATAAAAAAGTTAAGAGCATTCAGCAATGGGCCATACACTACATCATAAATATGTATCATTATGAGGAGAATACATCAAAATTATTTGTCAAAATTAGCACTCCCACCCATGAGGCTGCCTTAGCAATGAGATACACATTTCAATATTTTGCAAGGTCTGTAGGAACCTCCTGCCATGAACTTTTGCCATATTTTATAAAGACTTTAAAAGTTGTCCTGTCCACCACCATCCACCCCAGGAATATAATATATACAGCTATGGATGATAATTCTTTATCGAAACATTCTCCATTATTCACAAAACTTTAATACAGCTCATAAGACTCTTGGATTATTCTAGGGTTTGATACAAGCTGTTTTTTGACTACCCTTATTATAACATATTTGTTCTCAAATCTGGCTAAACTGTTAATCAATGCATTGGCAATATTGTACTGGTTTCACTGGAAACATTTAAATAACCATTAAAATATGGCATGTCAAACTTGAACTGTATTTTAATTTATATTAAAAAAAAAAAAAAAAAAAAAAAAAAAAAAGTTTCCTTGTCATTTTCAGTTTAATACCCAAGTCTTGCCAGACCACACCAACTTTAGAGAGGAACCAATTCTATATTAAATATGGAGTAATTTGTAATTTTTTTTTTTTTCAACAAGTCGGCCATCTCCCACCGAGGCAGGGTGACACTTATATGTAATACGTACATCTAAGCATATTACATAGAGAGCTTTTGTAGGTGATTTTGACTTGTCTCACTATTTTTTTGCTTCATTTCTATAGTATCAAACTAATGAATGATGGAGCATATTCTGGGGTTAAGAAAAAGCTCAGCTAATAGGAATGTTGTTAACAATTCAAGTCAAAGCTAGTTAAAGTGCTTGTGAAATTTAAAAAAAGTATAAAAATGATCAATTTATAAAAGATGACAGATCTTCCATAAATTATAGCAGTATAGTACATACTTGGTGGTGTGGCTTAGGCTGAAACACCCTCACTAACTGGGCACACAACTATCTAGTCTGGAAGCATTAGCCGTCTTCAATTTTATGACATCCACGATGAATTATTTGCAAACTAAGATCCATAAGTAAAAAAAAAAACTATGAAAATAATAGTAAAGTAATTTGTTTAAATATCTGACAACACTGTGCATGCAAACTTGGTGGTTTACATTTTCTAGTACATGATTAAATTATCATTTATCATTAACAGTGAGGATTACTAAATTGAATAGTCCAGTTAAGAAGCTAAGTACTAGTGATGAGACACTACTAGCATGATTATCCTCTACATCTCTCTCCTACATGTTCAGTGTATTATGTCTGGTATAGCAATTGGGTCCTTCACTCAAAATATTTCATAACATTTTTAATAAGTGTATTGTCAGTGCACTTGTACCAACTACCTTTATCAGTAATAATCTAGTGTTGGTAACATTACCTGAACAAGATTTACATTTAAATAATTAAAAAATGTACCAGTAATTAATAGTGCACAGCACACGAATTAAAACTTTCCTCATAAATACTACCTCAGACTATAATCGTAATTTGTGAAAACACCACAACCCCAAAATATGGTTGTATTCCTCAAAATGGCATGTAAATGACACTCTTGAGCTGCATTACAAGAAACATCTTGTTTATTCCCGGAAGAAGCAAAATAAAGAGCAACTGGCCAGTGGTTATACTTAGCTCTGGATAAAACTTATAATTATAAACATTACAATCTGTGTTTAGGCTTTGTAATATAACAATGCAAACAAGAATTAAATAAACAAGAATGAAAATAAGTAGAAAAAATTAATTTTACCACTGCTTATGTGGTAATACATGTATTTGATACTTATCAAATATAATATTAAGCATGAACAAAAGAAAACAGAAAACTACAGAGCAGATTTTGGTTTTCCAATGTCATATAATTTTGATAAAATATTAGGAATTTAAGAGAGAAACCTTGAATAAATTATGAGAACTCCAGACCAACATACAACTTCACAAAAGAAATTATAACAATATTTCTAAGCAAAAGGTGGGAGGCCCAACCCTTAATTAGAGTGATGAAGGCTTTACTTTTAATACAACACAAATTTTAATCATGTCAGTTGGTTCTGAAGTCATCAACAGAAAAATGACTAAGTGAAAGTTCATAAATATGCAAATGTTTGAGATGGATGTTTCTCTCGAAACATCCATCTCAAACTTAGGTACCTTTAATTAGAAAATAGCCAGGGAACACAAGGAATATGCAATATACACATCTCCCCCACAAGTGCAGTTCTACTCAACTGCAGGAATACATAACGCAAGTAGCATCCATGCTTCATTACATCTTACTACAACACATTCACAATGTTAAGCAACACTAACCCAACACACCTAAACCTTGTGTTAATTCTATCATCTAAAAATGTTTAATGCTGCAGCTGGGAATGGAACAAGGTTAATCAAATAAAACAAAACAAAAATGTATGTGAACCATATCATTCAAGTTGCTGCAGGTGAATCGAGTATTACAGTGGCAAACATCTTCAATACACATGCATTTAATGATAACATATGTATGTTCATTTAAATTTAAGTACAAAGAAAAGAAAAGTTTACAAATAATATTTAACAATTAGATGCTTAATAATAAATGTTGCTTTTGTCTCTCTCAAGGTTTAATACTTAAAACTTTTTTTAATGCAGTCTGCACTGCCTGTAAATCTACCTTGGTCCAAAAAATCCCCGACCTTGATAATTTTGTGCAAGAAATCCTTGGTAAAGTATACTCTGAGCTGATCTAATCCAGCCAAGATAATCCTGACCAGAGTAACTGATACCACTAGTTTGTATCTGACTGAAAGTGGCCTGTCTATTAATTGCATGACCCATGCCTACCCTACCACTGTCACTAAGGTTCAGTCCTCTTTGCACTATATTACCATGCCTGACAGCTAATCCATTATCTTTCATTAAGCTGGGAAGTGGCTTCTGTGAATCACCTTTCCCACTGCCCAAGTTTCGTTCATTACCAGCTCTCTGAGCAGCATTTGCATTGATATTGCCTATCCCAGAAGTACCTTGACCAGCACCAGCATTACTGGCTGCACCTTGAGTGCCACCACCTCGGCTGGATGCACCACGACCGTCACCACCTTGGCTGGCTGTGTTACGACTGTCTCCACCTTGTTTGGCCATATCACGATTGCCACCACCTTGTTTGGCAGTATGACGACTGTCCCCACCATGTTTGATAGCATCACGACTGTCACTACCTTGTTTAGCCGTATCACGACTGTCACCACCTTGTTTGGACGTATCACGAGTGTCACTATCTTGTTTGGCCATATCATGACTGTTACCACTTTGTCTGGCTGTATCACGACTGTCACCACCTTGGCCAATTTTACTCTGACTTGTGTTAACTTGACCAGTTTTGCTGTGATTAGTACCCCCTTGATCCCTGGCACCTGAACTAGCACTAACTTGACTGGATGCTCCATTATTAATATTGCCTTGGCTTGATGCACTTTGGCCAGGTTTACCCTTAGTACCGCCTTGACCAGCTTCACCATGATTACCACCATGCTGAATCTTAGTGGAAGAACATTGGCCATCACTGCCTTGGCTGCCTATACCCTTTCTATCTTTAATGCTATCTTTCATAGGCACGCCAACTACAACTTGAGAGGCAACATTCCGGCCAGCTGCATTTTGGCCACTTGCACCTACAATCTTATCGACTTGTTTACCTTGCTGTTTAGCAGCATCACAAGAATTACCACGTGGCAGGACTGCATCATTGGACCGAGTGGTTTTGCCGCTGGTACTTACATCTGAGAAGCGGCCAGCATCTTTGTCACATACCTTGAGGAAAGTCTCCCTCTCTTCCTCAACTGCATCTTCTCCTTCAACTTCTTTGTTTTCAATTGCTGGTGTTGTTTCCATAATATCCTCCATTTCCACCTAACAAGTAAACAAAACTGCCTTAGTTTAATCACAAAAAAAAAAAAAAAAAAAATGTGTAAAACAATCTTTTAATGCTTAGTTAGTTTTCCATAATCATCTTCCAAATCTTGCTAACATAATACCCAACTACCTTCATACATCATGCAACAAATCAGATGGAACAAAATTTATCCAGCCACACAAATCCAACTTCAACCAAAAACTGATTTTTACAACTTGTACCACATAAACAATTGCGTATAACTCCAATATACACTGACAACCTTAACTGATAACCTATGCATTATCATCACTAATTACAACTGCCACCACCACCACTCAATGACAACAATATAGCATAAGTTTGATCCACGATACTAGCAATTACTATATGCATGACATCCTATGAAAGTGGGCAAAAGATAAATTTGAAAAAAAAAAAAAAGACCCTCTTATCAAACAGGTCAGTTCCCTATCAGCATAATCCTGCAAATCAAATATATTTAGGCAAGATAATCACAAATTGGTAAATAATAAAAGATAAATAATGCAAAGAAAATGCAGACACAAAGAAAAAAAGTATGCATGAAGAAATGTTCCCAGTGGGGATCCAAGAAGACTAACACTTGCCCTGATAATCTTTCCATGTTTATGAAAGTGACTTGTCAGAAGGAATGGAAAAAGAAAAAATTGCAGCCCTCCAAACTGCAGCATCGTAAACTATCCTTCAAAATGTCAACACAGTACTTCCCACCTACAAAATTCAAGTCCAGCTGTGTTCCCTGAATCTCTTCACAGATGTTACCTTGCTCAAATGCTTAACAACACATGTTCATTGCAGCTGGATGTTTAAGCCTTGAGCTATGTACCTATTTTTTTTTTTTCAACAAGTCGGCCGTCTCCCACCGAGGCAGGGTGACCCAAAAAAGAAAGAAAATCCCCAAAAAGAAAATACTTTCATCATCATTCAACACTTTCACCACACTCACACATTATCACTGCTTTTGCAGAGGTGCTCAGAATACAACAGTTTAGAAGCATATACATATAAAGATAAACAACATATCCCTCCAAACTGCCAATATCCCAAACCCCTCCTTTAAAGTGCAGGCATTGTACTTCCCATTTCAGGACTCAAGTCCGACTATATGAAAATAAACCGTTTCCCTGAATCGCTTCACTAAATTTACCCTGCTCACACTCCAACAGATCGTCAGGTCCCAAGTATCATTCGTCTCCATTCACTCCTATCTAACACGCTCATGCACACTTGCTGGAAGTCAAGCCCCTTGCCCACAAAACCTCCTTTACCCCCCTCTTCCAACCCTTTCGAGGACGATCCCTACCCCTCCTTCCTTCCCCTATAGATTTATATGCTTTCCATGTCATTCTACTTTGATCCATTCTCTCTAAATGACCAAACCACCTCAACAACCCCTCTTCTCCCTCTGACTAATGCTTTTATTAACTCCACACCTTCTCCTAATTTTCCACACTCCGAATTTTCTGCATATTTACACCACACATTGCCCTTAGACAGGACATCTCCACTGCCTCCAACCGTCTCCTCGCTGCTGCATTTACCACCCAAGCTTCACATCCATATAAGAGTGTTGGTACTACTATACTTTCATACATTCCCTTCTTTGCCTCCATAGATAACGATTTTTTGACTCCACATATACCTCAACGCACCACTCACCTTTTTTCCCTCATCAATTCTATGATTAACCTCATCTTCATAAACCCATCCGCCGACACGTCAACTCCCAAGTATCTGAAAACATTCACTTCTCCATACTCCTCCTCCCCAATTTGATATCCAATTTTTCTTTATCTAAATCATTTGAATACCCTCATCACCTTACTCTTTTCTATGTTCACTTTCAACTTTCTACCTTTACACACATTCTCAAACTCATCCACTAACCTTTGCAATTTTTCTTTAGAATCTCCCATAAGCACAGTATCATCAGCAAAAAGTAACTGTGTCAGTTCCCATTTTGAATTTGATTCCCCATAATTTAATCCCACCCCTCTCCCGAACACCTTAGCATTTACTTCTTTTACAACCCCATCTATAAATATATTAAAACAACCAGGTGACATTAACATCCCTGTCTAAGACCTACTTTATACCGGAAGTAGTCTCCCTCTCTTCTACATACCCTAACTTGAGCCTCACTATCCTCATAAAAGCTCTTTACAGCATTTAGTAACTTACCACCTATTCCATATACTTGCAACATCTGCCACATTGCTCCTTTATCCACTCTATCATATGCCTTTTCTAAATCCATAAATGCAATAAAAACTTCCCTACCCTTATCTAAATACTGTTCACATATATGCTTCAATGTAAACACTTGATCTACACATCCCCTACCCACTCTGAAGCCTCCTTGCTCGTCCGCAATCCTACATTCTGTCTTACCTCTAATTCTTTCAATTATAACCCTACCGTATACTTTTCCTGGTATACTCAGTAAACTTATTCCTCTATAATTTTTACAATCTCTTTTGTCCCCTTTCCCTTTATATAAAGGGACTATACATGCTCTCTGCCAATCCCTAGGTACCTTCCCCTCTTTCATACATTTATTAAACAAAAGTACTAACCACTCCAACACTATATCCCCCCCTGCTTTTAACATTTCTGTCATGATCCCATCAGTTCCAGCTGCTTTACCTCCTTTCATTCTACGTAATGCCTCACGTACCTCCACCACACTTACATTCTGCTCTTTTTCACTCCTAAAAGATGGTATACCTCCCTGACCAGTGCATGAAATTACCGCCTCCCTTTCTTCCTCAACATTTAAAAGTTCCTATATACTGATAAATTACTGCTGCTTTCCTTTGCACTTTATTAAATAATCGACTATAAATTCTTCTATTGTTTAGCTTTAATTTGTTTAACTATTACAAGTAAAATTTTCATTATCAATAAAAATTCAAAAAATTATCACAATCATTGCCACAGTAAACAGCTGCATTTAACAAATGCTCTTCCTCATAATCAATATAGAGTACTAAAGCAGAAAGCACTAATACCTCATTAATAGCAGCATCCTGGGCCAATGGTGTCAAGTCAACTCTGGTGTAGCTGGCCGGGGTACGCTCCCAGGATGCTATAATACGCTCTATGTGCTCCTTAGGATGATTGTGGGTATTGCGGTGAAGGCACACAGTCTGGTCCACCTCTAACTCTCCAATATACACCTGAAAAAATAATTCATTTATTTTTTTTGTGCCTCAAAATGACTTTATATATCTGTGGCCAGTTCTGAGAGTTTTTCTACATTACCATCCATAAATAAATACAGGAAACCCCCAATATATCTTAACTAACTGAAAATTCTGTAACCAACAAACTTGGCTCGGTGTTTCTTAATCAACTGACACAGCTGATTTTGCCCCAAATTTTTGATATCCATTACTGTATAAAGTTAAATTTTTGACTTTCGTGTATCTTTTGGGTTACTTTTATTTACATATAAAAATTAATTATGATGACAACAGTGAGGGAATTAAAGGAAAAATGTATTCTAAAGGATGTTTACATACACATGGGGAAAGAAGGAAAAAAGTTAAGATCTATATAGTTTTTGAACTGGGCTCTTTACCTTTTCAGCACTCATCAATTACTTTCATAATTCTACTGTTTAAACTAATATACAGTCAAGCTACTTTTATTACAATGCCTCACTTGTTACACATCTTTATCATTCTTGAAATGAAGCAATTCCCAGTCTCTGGGGCTATTCTGTACCAGAGTACTGTATTTTGAATTGGGAATAAACTTGTTTTTAACACACCAACCATCTTCCATGTAAAAAAGGTGACCCAAAAACACTTCTTTTCTTCTTTCAATAAACCAGCTGTATCCCACTGAAGAAGGTTGGCCCAAAAAAGACACACAAAAGTTTCTCGTGTTAACTTTAGTAATGTATAGAGGAGAAAGGGTTACTAGCCCCTTGTTCCTGGCATTTTAGTCACCTCTTATGACATGCATGGCTTACGGAGGAACAATTCTGTTATGCTTCCCTTGGAGATAAGAGGAAATAAACAAGATCAAGAACTAGTAAGAAATTAGAAAACAACCCATAGGGGTGTGTATACATATGCTTGTACAGGTTAAACCATACCCCCGGCCGGGATTGAACCCGCGGTCATAGAGTCTCAAAACTCCAGCCCGTCGCGCTAGCCACTAGACCAGCTAGCCACAATAAGATTCATCCAACTAGGTATATTTCTACACCATAGGAAAGTTAGCACAGGCACCTCTGTGACCACAAATGCAAGTTTTTACAGACGAATCTCCAGCTAGCGTGGCCGTGACGAACTCTAGCTCAAGTCCCTTCACTGCCGTCAACATTTGCAATCGTGTCATTACGATTTCTTAAGTCTTGTACAGGTTGGCCACCACTAATCTGGCATCATCAGAACCTGTAGGGCACCAGATTAGTGATTTTGCCATATTACACAGTGGTTGGGTTAGAATACACTTAACCCAAAGGCGATACCACCCACTTTACACCCTATTTTTGGTCCATTCCATTGTTGCAGCCTACCAAACTCATAGTTATTTCACTAGCATTCCTTCTATTCTGTTGAGTACAAGTAACCGTCCATTTACCGATTTCAACTAGCCAATTAGCAATTTGGCCAATTTCACACAAATTTCAAAATAGGGTCCAGAAGAAACAATGCAGACATTCCTGGCATTAAAATAAATTTTCTCTGTTCATTAGTTACTTCTCCAGGCCCCTCTTATATTACTCTTGCTTTCCATTTTCGAATTTTTATTTGCACATAAAAATAGAAGATTTACTGTTATGCAGACTACTGCAATATTGTAATACAGTGGAACTTATACTTGTGAGTTTAATCAGTTCAGTGACCTTGCTCGCAATTGGATTTGCTCATTTCCAGAGTCAATTTTCCTAATTTAAATGAACCCTTTGACTGATTCAGCCGTATATATATACAGGTTTCCCTCAATATTCGCGAGGGTTAGGGGATCAAGAGCCTCACGAATGTTGAAAAATCGCGAATGTTTGGTGCCCCAATATTTTTTTTTTTTTCAACAAGTCGGCCGTCTCCCACCGAGGTAGGGTGATCCAAAAAAGAAAGAAAATCCCCAAAAAGAAAATGCTTTCATCATCATTCAACACTTTCACCACACTCACACATAATCACTGTGTTTGCAGAGGTGCTCAGAATACAACAGTTTAGAAGCATATACATATAAAGATACACAACATATCCCTCCAAACTGCCAATATCCCAAACCCCTCCTTTAAAGTGCAGGCATTGTACTTCCCATTTCCAGGACTCAAGTCTGACTATATGAAAATAACCGGTTTCCCTGAATCCCTTCACTAAATATTACCCTGCTCACACTCCAACAGATCGTCAGGTCCCAAGTACCATTCGTCTCCATTCACTCCTATCTAACACGCTCACGCACGCTTGCTGGAAGTCCAATATATTGTAGGGAAATATAATACAATACTGCTTCCTTAACTTGTTGAACCATGAACAATCACAAAACACATGAAAATGTCGTAAACTGTACTAAATACATACATGTTATGCTTTAATAACATGTATGTTATTAAATACCACTGCCTCCACCACTTCCTCAACCACTGCGAGTCCCTACTACCCTCCCTCCGACCCCCGCAACTGGCAGCCAACCCTCCCACCACTGTGTGGCGAATGTTTTGTTTGTTCATTATCTGCTATTAAACTACAGTATAAATAAGGTCAACCCATTCATGACTGCATATTGGAATGGCTATTCGGACAGGTATTGGACGGTGACACCATGCGTTTACTCTTGAACACAACGAAGAATCAAACATTTCTACTACTGCTAATAATAACAATAGTAATAATAATAATAATAATAATAATAATAATAATAATAATAATAGTAGGTTGGTAGACAGCAACCACCCAGGGAGGTACTACCATCCTGCCAAGTGAATGTAAAACAAAAGCCTGTAATTGTTTTACATGATGGTAGGATTGCTGGTGTCTTTTGTCTGTCTCATAAATATGCAAGATTACAGGTATATCTTGCTACTTCTACTTACACTTAGGTCACACTACACATACATATACACATTTATTTATACACATTCATCTGAGTTTTCTTTGATTTTATCTTAATAGTTCTTGGTCTTATTGCTTTTCCTTTTATATCCATGGGGAAATGGAATAAGAATCTTTCCTCCGTAAGCCATGCGTGTTGTAAAAGTCAACTAAAATGCCGGGAACAATGGGCTAGTAACCCCTTTTCCTGTAAAGATTACTAAAAAGAATAAGAAGAAAATTGTCAAAGTGGGAAGTCTGAATGTGCGTGGATGTTGTGCAAATGATAAGAGATGATTGTGGATGTTATGAATGATAAGAAGCTGGATGTCCTAGCTTTAAGTGAAACAAAGCTGAAGGGGGTGGGAGAGTTTCAGTGGAGAGGAATAAATGGGATTAGGTCAGGGGTTTCAAATAGAGTTAGAGCTAAAGAAGGAGTAGCAATAATGTTGAAGGATGAGATATGGCAGGAAAAGAGGGACTATAAATGTATTAATTCAAGGATTATGTGGAGTAAAATAAGGGTTGGATGTGAAAAGTGGGTTATAGTAAGTGTATATGCACCTGAAGAAGAGAGAAGTGTAGAGGAGAGGGAGAGATTTTGGGAAATGTTGAGTGAATGCGTGGGGAGTTTTGAACCAAGTGTGAGAGTACTTCTGGTTGGGGATTTCAATGCTAAAGTGGGTAAAAATGTTGTGGAGGGAGAAGTAGGTAAATTTGGGGTGCCAGGGGTAAATGTAAATGGGGAGCCTTTAATTGAGCTATGTGTAGAAAGAGATTTGGTAATAAGTAATACATATTACTTATTACCAAAGAGGATAAATAAATATACAAGGTATGATGTAGCACGTAATGAAAGTAGTTTGTTAGATTATGTATTGGTGGATAAAAGGTTGATGGGTAGGCTCCAGGATGTACATGTTTATAGAGGGGCAACTGATATATCGGATCATTATTTAGTTGTAGCTACAGTTAGAGTAAGAGGTAGATGGGACAAGAGGAAGGTGGCAACAACAAGTAAGAGGGAAGTGAAAGTGTATAAACTAAGGGAGGAGGAAGTTCGGGTGAGATATAAGCAACTATTGGCAGAAAGGTGGGCTAGTGCAAAGATCAGAAGTGAGGGGGTTGAAGAGGGTTGGATGAGTTTTAAAAATGCAGTATTAGAATGTGGGGCAGAAGTTTGTGGTTATAGGAGGGTGGGGGCAGGAGGAAAGAGGAGTGATCGGTGGAATGATGAAGTAAAGGGTGTGATAAAAGAGAAAAAGTTAGCTTATGAGAGGTTTTTACAAAGCAGAAGTGTTATAAGAAGAGCAGAGTATATGGAGAGTAAAAGAAAGGTGAAGAGAGTGGTGAGAGAGTGCAAAAGTAGAGCAGATGATAGAGTGGGAGAGGCACTGTCAAGAAATTTTAATGAAAATAAAAAAATTTTTGGAGCGAGTTAAACAAGCTAAGAAAGCCTAGGGAACGTATGGATTTGTCAGTTAAAAACAGAGTAGGGGAGTTAGTAGATGGGGAGAGGGAGGTATTAGGTAGATGGCAAGAATATTTTGAGGAACTTTTAAATGTTGAGGAAGAAAGGGAGGCGGTAATTTCGTGCACTGGCCAGGGAGGTATACCATCTTTTAGGAGTGAAAAAGAGCAGAATGTAAGTGTGGGGGAGGTACATGAGGCATTACATAGAATGAAAAGGGGTAAAGCAGCTGGAACTGATGGGATCATGACAGAAATGTTAAAAGCAGGGGGGGGGGGGATGTAGTGTTGGAGTGGTTGGTACTTTTGTTTAATAAATGTATGAAAGAGGGGAAGGTACCTAGGGATTGGCACAGAGCATGTATAGTCCCTTTATATAAAGGGAAGGAGGACAGAAGAAATTGTAAAATTATAGAGGAATAAGTTTATTGAGTATACCAGGAAAAGTGTACGGTAGGATTATTATTGAAAGAATTAGAGGTAAGACAGAATGTAGGATTGCGGATGAGCAAGGAGGTTTCAGAGTGGGTAGGGGATGTGTAGATCAAGTGTTTACATTGAAGCATATATGTGAACAGTATTTAGATAAAGGTAGGGAAGTTTTTATTGCATTTATGGCTTTAGAAAAGGCATATGATAGAGTGGATAGGGGAGCAATGTGGCAGATGTTGCAAGTATATGGAATAGGTGGTAAGTTACTAAATGCTGTAAAGAGTTTTTATGAGGATAGCGAGGCTCAGGTTAGGGTGTGTAGAAGAGAGGGAGACTACTTCCCGGTAAAAGTAGGTCTTAGACAGGGATGTGTAATGTCACCATGGTTGTTTAATATATTTATAGATGGGGTTGTAAAAGAAGTAAGTGCTAGGGTGTTTGGGAGAGGGGTGGGATTAAATTATGGGGAATCAAATACAAAATGGGAATTGACACAGTTACTTTTTACTGATGATACTGTGCTTATGAGAGATTCTAAAAAAAAATTGCAAAGGTTAGTGGATGAGTTTGGGAGTGTGTGTAAAGGTAGATGAAAGTGAACATAGAAAAGAGTAAGGTGATGAGAGTATCAAATGATTTAGATAAAGAAAAAATTGGATATCAAATTGGGGAGGAGGAGTATGGAAGAAGTGAATGTTTTCAGATACTTGGGAGTTGACGTGTTGGCGGATGGATTTATGAAGGATGAGGTTAATCACAGAATTGATGAGGGAAAAAAGGTGAGTGGTGCGTTGAGGTATATGCGGAGTCAAAAAACGTTACCATGGAGGCAAAGAAGGGAATGTATGAAAGTATAGTAGTACCAACACTCTTATATGGGTGTGAAGCTTGGGTTGTGAATGCAGCAGCGAGGAGGCGGTTGGAGGCAGTGGAGATGTCCTGTCTAAGGGCAATGTGTGGTGTAAATATTATGCAGAAAATTCGGAGTGTGGAAATTAGGAGAAGGTGTGGAGTTAATAAAAGTATTAGTCAGAGGGCTGAAGAGGGGTTGTTGAAGTGGTTTGGTCATTTAGAGAGAATGGATCAAAGTAGAATGACATGGAGAGCATTTAAATCTGTAGGAAGGAAGGCGGGGTAGGGGTCGTCCTCGAAAAGGTTGGAAGGGGTAAGGGAGGTTTTGTGGACGAGGGGCTTGGACTTCCAGCAGGCGTGCATGAGCGTGTTCGATAGGAGTGAATGGAGACGAATGGTATTTGGGACCTGACTATCTGTTGGAGTGTGAGCAGGGTAATATTTAGTGAAGGGATTCAGGGAAACCGGTTATTTTTATATAGCCGGACTTGAGTCCTGGAAATGGGAAGTACAATGCCTGCACTCTAAAGGAGGGGTTTTGGGATATTAGCAGTTTGGAGGGATATGTTGTGTATCTTTATACGTATATGCTTCTAAACTGTTGTGTTCTGAGCACCTCTGCAAAAATAGTGATTATGTGTGAGTGAGGTAAAAGTGTTGAATGATGATGAAAGTATTTTATTTTTGGGGATTTTATTTCTTTTTTGGGTCACCCTGCCTCAGTGGGAGACTGCCGACTCGTTAAAAAAAAAAAAAAAATGACCATTTCCCAATTAGGTAGGGTGACCCTAAAAAGTATCACTTTCATCATCACAGATTGTTAAAAAATGTTTAATTTCTTAGAACAAAGTTTAACCTTCCTTGACGACCAAACCTAGGGTTTATCAACCACTGTATTGGCCGCCAGTTTTTTTTTTTTTTTTATCTTTTTTAGTGTACAAGGGAGCGTGGCCCTAGCTTGGGTTTTGTTTTAATAATTTTCTGATTAAGGCCAATCTGTTTGCCCCTGAATAATTGTTTACCCTTTAAGGGTAACATTCTGATTAAGGCCAATCTGTTTGCCCCTGAACATTTGTTTACCCTCTAAGGGTAACACAACTTCTAAACACCCTCCACAGTACATCATCTCCATTCTTCATTCAGAGTGTAGGCACCATACTTTATACCTTCAGCTAACCAGTTTTTCTGAATCTCTTCATTAATGTTATGCTGCTCACTCTACAACAACATGTCAACCAGAAAACTCACTTATCTCCACTCTGATATAACACACACAAGCCTGATGGGTGCTCAAGCCCCTAGCACTCAAAATTACCTTTACTTCTCCCCTCTACTTACCTCAAAACCTTGCTTTTTAGCATGGGAAGCAATCTCGGTGAAATGATTCACTTTGTTATTGACACAATCCACAATGATGAAAGGGAAGAAGCCATCATCCACTTGCTTCTTAAATGACTTCACAAGAGATGCACGGTAACTGTCTTCTAGTTCTGCTTCATACTCGTACTCCATAATCTAAGGCATGTCAATATTATCATGAATTATCCTCATTATTTAAATTCAAACTATGTTACACTGTCTAAAATGACAGCAGAGGAAAAAATATACATATGAAGAATGTACAAAGTAATACAAGTTCAGAAGAAAAAAAAGTTACAGTAAACATGGAGCCAAAAATTATGAGGATGTACATAACCACTTCAAATTTGGCATTTCTAAAATGACTTATAAATGAATAGGGTTTACATAAGCTATCCAAAATGTGATTTCGCCACTTTTACTACAATGTTCATAACAGTGCCAAACAAAAACTGCTAATCACATGACATGTGAATAGGCTTGAATTTTTTTTTAATTTCTTAACAACCTACATATAAAATGCTAAGATAAATATTTAAAAATGCAATGACGAGCAATATGCACTATTTAAAATTCTGGTCTGTTACCATTTTTCCAAAAATTAAATGTAATTTTCATATTTTGTAAACCAACTTTAGTCTAACTACAACATAAAAATTCACTCACAAATAACAATTTATACCTTTGTTTTAACTCTTCTCCCAGTATCCTTATCAAGAGTCATCTTCTCAGTCTCCACCATAAAGTAATCATCAAGACTAAGGATGCGTGGGGGGCTTCCTCCATTCTCCACCTCTCGATCCTAAACATCAGGACAGAAAAGTTAAGCTTTATACATTTCATTTTTATTTCTTAATTTGCCAACCTTGTCAATGTAATTAGATCCAAGAGGTACAGTTCAACACAACAATATATCTACCTTCAAAACTCTAGTATTTTCTAGTCTCATAACAATATTACCTAATACTTCAACAATGTCAAATTCCACATACAGACCTACAATTAAGAACAAATACCTAATGAATATTCAAGCCTCTACCTCTGAAAACCTAATTTTTATCTTTCTTCCTTATCAAAATTCCAAGCACTAATAATCGAGAAAGTGATTACTTAGATGGAAACTTCCCAACATCCCTCGATCTTGTTCCAACTGAGCCCACTGAAGTCACCCTGATTATTAATTCACTAAAAAACAAACTATTACTCAAACTCCCTACACCACATTCATCTTGTTCCATTATTATTATAATCAAAAAGAAGTGCTAAGCCACAAGGACTATACAGCTCATCTTGTTCCAGATTTATGCACTGTCTCCAATTTCCAAATCTTGTGTCACAATCCTAACTCCTCTTCCAACATCTGCAGATTCTCTTACAATCTCTCCATAACATCATTTACAAATTGTCAACATTAAAGTTTTGTAGGCACAATTGTCTTAATGGACCTTCATAGGTGGTATCTTGATACTAAAGGGCTTTTGTTCTATGGAACTGAAGTTACCCTCCTCATACTCAGATGATACCCAACTGCCCCCTCATTCTCCTGATGCTTTATGCTACCAGGTATTCCCACATTTACATTTTCACCACTTACACGTTTATGTAAAATTCTATTGTAGATTCATACCCTTAAAGTGTGAACCATCTCTTTTTAGTTATTTTTAACTATTAAATTCGCTCTGGCATGTTACATGCCTATTTACTACATAAAAATATCAACCACTTAGGTTAACGTTTATTTTTCTACTTGTTAACATGCCACAAATATTCACCAACACCAACAGTACAAACCTTGATCATCTTAGCCATGGTAGTCTTGCCAGAACCAGGAGGTCCACGAAGGATAATGGCAATTTTTGGAGGGCGCATAAAACGTCCAGGAGTAGACACAAGGTCATCAATGGTAACAACATCCCCAACTACCTCTGGTTCTGACGGCACAGGTTGGGGAGCAGGCTCAGGTGTTCCACTAGTAGGGCCTGTGCCTATTGCCAACCTAAAATGAAGATGTGCATGAGAAAAAATTTGCTGTTTTCTTTGTATGTAATGTCTAACGTGTTCACAAAATATACAAGGCTTCCATGACAATCACAAACAAGGGATCAAACTAATGACAAATGAGCCAATAGGGAATGGAAAGAACCAGCTCAGTTCTTTTCATCCTCTAGAGGTCTGTTCTGCATGGAAGGTTTGATATTGTTTAACATGACAGGATAAACAAGCACTCAATACATTCATTATCACATATTTAACGGTAGTCTTGCCAGACACACACGGAGATCATAATTCACACGATCCTCTGAATTACATGTCCACCCATCCTTGAAGTGCAACCACTACATTCCCCACCTCCAGGACTAAAATTCAGCTAACCAATGTTCCCAAATCCTGTTATGTTGCCTTGCTCACACCATCAGTACACCAAATACCAAAAATGTTAAAGAATATTGAAAAAATACCTTATTTGTGGCATTTTTGGTTAATTTTCTAAGTACTTTTGTTTTTATGAAATAACCATCATAAAAATAGGTGTACTTGGCTTGATTTTGAATACTTTAGCTTCCTTAACATTCTTTATCTGTTTTCTGTGTTACTTATTACTTAAAGATTGAAAGTAATATTATAAAACATGAAAATTATTTTCCTATATACTACTTATAAATTTATGATTATTTTACTAGAGGATAAATTAAATACAGTATTCTTCCTAAATTACTAAGATTATTTCTACTAAATCATCATGGAGATAACAGAACAGCTAGTTCATTTTTTGACACTCCAGCCAAGGTAGGGTGACCTGACAAACACGAAAACATTTTCACTGTCACCATGATGCGATAATACTGCACCTGGACACTGCTGATGATCTTAATGGTGACCGATCTCTTTCTTCATTTCCAGTATTTCTTGGTGCCCAGTCTGGCCTTTGGTCAAATGCTGAAGGAGGTCCACGGTTCTCTTCTCTACCTCCTCTTAGATTACGTTCCCTACTCGGCTGGTCGTGACCGTCTGGACGCTAATCAAAGCAAAACAGAAAAAAAAAAAAAATGCTGATTTATCATAAAATTTGATATCAGTTAAGGCAGTTCTGAATGTTAAAATTTTTCAAAAGAATACAAAGTGAAAATTTATACATGAATTTATGTTTGAAATATGAAACAAAAACTAGTTTTAAAACAAAGCAGATTTATATCTGCAGCATTTAGACTTTTAGCTGCCTTATCTACAATTATTAAGTGCAATGGTGCAAGTGAAGTATAATTTATTGGGCACTTAATTTAACTTCACGAATACAAGAAAATAGATATTAGTTGTTAAAAAAAAATCAAACATGACCCTATACATGGCAGATGTTAGGCCCATCTTGGAGTATGCAGCACCAGTATGGAACCCACATCTGATGAATGCATGTATAAAGTGAAAAGGATTGCAACAAAATTAGTCCCAGAACAAGTTTTGTAGTACACCTTCAAGGCTGGAGGAGCTAAACTTAACAACAGTTAAAGACAAAGAACCGAAAGTGATATAATTACAACATAGTACAAAATACCGAAGAGGAACTGATGGGTCTCAGTTACATGTGAGAACAGCTGGAAGTAAAAAAAAAAAAAAAAAAAGGGGGGGGGGGAGGCAAGTCACAGGTATGTTATAATATACCTACTTTAGCCTTAGAAAGTAGAATTACCTAGACTTAAAGTGACAGAGGTGGAATCCATACATAGTTTTAATAATAGTATGACAGGGCTTGTGCAGCCAGAAGAAACAAGCTAACCGAAAGGCAGGACCAGCAGTGGAGACTTGACCCCTGCAACCACAATTTTTGTACATGCGTGCAAAAAAATATCATTCATTCACTGCCTCTCCCCCCCCCCTCTCTCTCTCTCTCACACACTCACTCACTCTCTCACACACTCTCTCTCTCACACACACACTCACACTCCAACTCTTTCTCCCTCTCTCACATTCCCACTCTTTCATACACTCCCACTCTCTTTCTCCCTCTCTCACACACTCCCCCTCTCACACACTCCCAATCTCTCTCACACATCCACTCTCTCTCTCACACACCCACTCTCTCTCTCACACTCCCACTCTCTCTCACACTCCCACTCTCTCTCCTCCCACCCTCACATTTCCACTCTCTCACTCCCACTCTCACACTCATTCACATTCCCACTCTCTCACTTCCACTTTCACACTCTCGTTCACACTCCCACTCTCTCTCACTCTCATGCACATACACACACTAACATTCATTCACACGCATTATACATTAACAAATAAATAAAAGTTGTGATAAGAACCTGCATTTGCCAATCCATTCCAGAGTTGAATGACCCACCAGGGTTTGGCTGCTGCTTCATGCCTGTAAAAAAATAAATATATATATATACAACATAGTAACATTACCTGCTAAGTAAGTCACTAAAACTACCCAAATATCATATATGAATCTAAGTCCACAAGTTAATTAAAAATATTCATTAGAATATTTTATAAATGCATGATCTTACTCTTAGCAAAACATAATTAGGTTTCCTTAAATGAAACTGATAAAACTTAAAACTAAGCCATCAGAATGAACAATATACAGAGGCATCATAAGGGGATGGGGGCGCCCCGGGTGACACCATTTAGGGGGTGACACCATAGAGCCTCTAAAGTAGGTAACACTAATGACCAAAACCATGCTGCAGCAACCTAAGACAAAAATCCTTCGTTTCTATATAGCCTATTATAGGATCGCATAGTACAAACAGGCCTATATAGGGAAAATCGTTGATTTTGATGATGTGATAGATGATTTTGCAGGACTGAAGGTAAGGAAATGTAATATCAGATTCTTTGAGATGTTACCTGTACTCAAGGTCAAATTGGAACTAGCGTTTTTCTTTATTTTTCAAGTTTTTTTTTTTTAATTGTTGAAGATGAATAAATGTAGGAACTGTTGCCTGTACTCCAAGTGGTATTTACGTTTCCTCAATATTACTACGATTATTTATTTTATCATTAATAAAGTTCGGTTTATGGCCTTCAAACGTTCTCATTGCCAAACATTAGTCACTGGTCATGCAGCAGTGATGTAACTGGGGTTTACTACCCCATCCCCCCGCCCTTGGATTTCATGGGGGTGACACCAAAGATGTCACCCCGGGCTACACCAAAGATTCCGCCCCAGGTGACACCAACCCTAGCGACGCCTCTGACAATATAAAAGGACGTATGGTATATAACAGCAAATGAGAAATAATCACAAGTATAGGGTCTCCCAACTTGCAAGCGAAGACACCCTAATTATTTAATGAATGCGACACACAGATAAGAACTTGGTATACGATTATCTTTTGCACAAATGTTTTCTATGCAAAAGTCAGATTTCAAGCTAAAAACAACTCATCCAAAAGTTTGAACATCAAGAATGCAACTCGTTCATTATTTGGGGACCCCTCTGTGCAGTAGTCAGAGTGTAGATGTAGAAGCCAGTATTAGAAAATGAAGAATAAATAATTAGGAAGTACATAGTAGATGCTGAATGCTAAACTACGATTAAGATAACTTTTGTTATATTCGTATGAAAGAAGCATAAATATGCTATTTCCTTACAGCATATAATTACTAATGTTCAGCCTTTAGACTTGAACATGCTATGACATTATTAGCAATAATTTAAGTTCATCAAACTACAGCCTCTCCTCACTTAGCGACATACTCGTTTACTGACGCCTCTGACTTAGGACGGGCTCTATGACCAGTTTTATACCTAAATAATGTATATTAAAGCTGATTTCCTCTATTCTGTTTATATCAATATAGAGTACACTATTGTATAAACATTTAAAAATCTACCAGAAATGTTATAAATGGTGCAAAGGTGACATTAAAACAATATCAAAGATGGCTGACACAAACCCACTACCATTACAGTATGCTCTTCACTTAGCGATGAATTTGTTTAACAATGTGGTCTTAGGAACGGAACTCCGTCGTTAAGCGAGGAGAGGCTGTACTTTGAGCTTGTTGCCACAGGAAAATCTTTTCAAAACATTTTTCCCTGAATTGTTTATCAAATTAAAGTGTTTTCAAGGCCTCTGTTTCTGTCATGAGCAATTATCATGCATAATCCTGGAACACACTAAGAGTAATCAAGACATACCTAATGTGCCCAGGATGTGGCCCATCCTCGTAATCAAAGTCAGCATTTTACTGTGGCTAAGACAGTTGGATGGGTGATTGTTTACATGTCTTAAACAGTGAATACCTGAGTATAATAGAGTGCACTCAATGGATCCCAGCCAAAATGTTTCATTTATTGCCGTTGTACTTTATAACTGATTAATTTTTATTAACAGACAACAATCAAACCTAACAATGTAAATAGAGAAATTTGCTGAAAAAAGTATTTGATAAATAAACTTAGAATTAAGGATGGGTTGCAGGGTAAGTGCCTAATACTCACAAGCTATAATTTTGCCTGCTCAAACTTACCATACATTTTACTGTGGATTAAACTGTCACCAATGAATTTAAATACACAAAATGGGATCAAGACTGGATGTTTGATGAAGCTGATGATTTAACAATGACCAGCACCATTTGGCAACCTGAGACTTATTAAACTCTCCCTAATATCACTGTACAGGATATCTGGGGAAAAGGCATTAGTTTCACTAGCACCTCTGTAAGACATTCATGGTGGATGAGTTTCCTTGTATAGGTCACCTGGCCTTGGCGAGAAATGACCCATCTTAAAACTGGGTGACCCAAAGGAGAATATCCCCCCAAACTTGACAAATGCAACTCTGCCCCATAATACTGTACCAGAGAACCCTTACTTGCTGAAAAAAAAAAAAATTATATATATATATATATTATATATATATATATATATATATAATATATATATATATTTTATATATATTATATATTATATATATATTTTATATATATAAATATATTATATATATTATAAAATTATTATATATATATATATATATAATATATATATATTTTATATATATATATTTTATATATATTTTATAATATATATATATATATATATATATTATTATTAATGGGAGTTAGAGGTATTGGGAAGATGGAAGGAATATTTTGAGGAATTGTTAAATGTGATGAAGATAGGGAAGCTGTGATTTTGTGTATAGGAAAGGAGGAATAAACTCTTGTGGGAGTGGGGAAGAGCCAGTTGTGAGTGTGGGGGAAGTTGTGAGGCAGTAGGTAAATGAAAGGGGGTAAGGAAGCCGGGATTGATGGGAATAAGATAGAAATTTTTAAAAGCAGGGGGGGATATAGTTTGGGAGTGGTTGGTGCAATTATTAATAATGTATGGAGGGTAAGGTCCCTAGGGATTGGCAGAGAGCATGCATAGTTCTTTGTATAAGGAAAAGGGGGAAATAAAAGAGGATGCAAAATTTTAGGGGTAAAGTCTGTTGAGTGACCTGGTTTAAAGTGTATGGTAAGTTATAATTGAAAGAATTAAGAGAAAGGGACGGGGGATAGGGATAGCAGATGAACAAGAGGCTTTAGGAAAGGTAGGGGGTGTTGTGGCCCAGGTGTTTAAAGTGAAAATATAATGAACAGTATTTAGATAAGGCTAAAGAGGTCTTTGTGGCATTTATGGATTTGGAAAAGGCGTATGGCAGGGTGGATAGGGGGGCAAATGTGGCAGTTTGTTGCAAGTGTATTGGTGTGGAGGTAGGTTACGAAAGCAGTGAAGAGTTTTTACGAGGATAGTGGGGCTCAGTTAGAGTATGTAGGAAAGAGGGAAATTTTTTCCAGTAAAAGTAGGCCTTAGACAAGGATGTGTGATGTCACCGTGTTGTTTAATATATTTATAGATGGGGTTGTAAGAGAAGTAAATGCGGGGGTCTTGGGCAAGAGGGTGGAGTAAAAGATAAAGAATCAACACACAAGTGGGAGTTGTCACAGCTGCTCTTTGCGATGACATTTTGCTCTTGGGAGATTAAAGGAGAATTGCAGGATTGGTGGATGATTTGGTAGGGTGTGCAAAAGAAGAAAATTAAAGGGAATACAGGAAAGATAAGGTTATGAGGATAACAAAAAGATTAAGGTGATGAAGATTGAGTATCAGATTTGGAGGGGGGAGAGATGGAGGAGGGAACGTATTCAGATATTTGGGATGGAAAGTGCAGCGGATGGGTTTTTTGAAAGATGAGGTGAATCATGGGAATTGATGAGGAAAAAAGTGGAGTGGTGCACTTAGGAGTCTGTGGAGACCAAAGAAACTTTGGGTCCTTGGAGGCAAGAGGGGAAATGTATGGAGTATAGTTTTCCAACGCTCTTATATGGGTTGGAAGCGTGGGTGATGAATGTTGCGCGAGGAGAGGCTGGAGGCAGTGGAGATGTCATGTTGAGGGCAATGTGGGGTGTGAATATAATGCAGAGAATTCGAGTTTGGAAAGTTAGGAGGAGGTGGGGGAATTACCAAAACTGTTGTTCCAGAGGGCTGAGGAAGGGTTTGTTGAGGTGGTTCGGGACATTTAGAGAGAATGGAGCGAACAGAAGACTTAAGAGTGTATCAGTCTGTTAGTGGAAGGAAGGCGGGGTAGGGGTGGGCCTAGGAAGGGTTGGAGGAGGGGTAAAAAGGAGGTTTTGTGTGCGAGGGGTTGGATTCCAGCGGGCATGCGTGAGCGGTTTGATAGGAGTGAATGGAGAAAAATGGTTTTTTAATACTTACGTGCTGTTGGAGTGTGAGCAAAGTAACATTTTAAAGGGATTCGGGGAAAACGGCAGCCGGCTTGAGTCCTGGAGATGGGAAGTACAGTCCCTGCACTCTGAAGGAGGGGTGTTAATGTTTGCAGTTTAAAACTGTAGGAAACACCTTCTGGAAAAGACAGTGATGGAGTTGATGATGGGAAAAGTTTTCTTTTCGGGCACCCTGCCTTGGTGGGAATCGGCCGGTGTGATAATAAAATAAAAAAAAGGGTCTGTTGAGGGGTCCTGGAAAGTGTATGGTAGAGTTATAATTGAAAGAATTAAGAGTAAGACGGAGAATAGGTAGCGAGAACAAGGAGGCTTTAGGAAAGGTAGGGGGGGTGTGGACAGGTGTTTACAGTGAAACATATAAGTGAACAGTATTTGTTAAGGCTAAAGAGGTTTTGACATTTATGATTTGGAAAAGTCGTATGACAGGGTGGAATAGGGGGGAACAATGTGGCAGATGTTGCAGTGATGGTTTTAGGAGGTGGTTTAACTGAAGCAGTGAAGAGTTTTACGAGGATAGTGAGGCTCAAGTTAGAGTTATGTAGTTGAAAATAGGAATTTTATTCCCAAAATATTAGACAAGGATGTTTGTCACCCTGTTGTTCTATCATGAAGATGGGGTTT